ATGTTATACATGTCTAATTGATGGGGGTGGGGGGGGGGCACTGATGTTATACATGTCGAATTGATGGGGGCACTGATGTATAAGTGTAGAATTGAGGGGGCACTGATGTATAAGTGTAGAATTGAGGAGGGAGTCACTGATGTTACAAGTGTGGAATTGACGGGGCACTGATGTTACGAGTGTGGAATTGAGGGGGGAGGGGCAATTATGTTATAAGTGTTGAATTGAGGGGGCACTGATGTTACGAGTGAGGAATTGAAGGGGAGACATTGCTGTAATGTGTAGTATTTAGAGTGAGACATTGTGATTACAAGAGTAAAATTATAATTATGATTATAATTGTGTAAGGTAAAAACACGGCTTTTTGGAAGGTTTATTGATGAGTAGGTTTAGCAGTGGGGCTGAGACTGAGGAAATGTCTTGTAACCGGATAGCCAACTGGTAGAGCACCATCTTGGATTCAGGCAGTCATATGTTACATTCCTCGCCTTTTGTTTGTTATTTTCTGTTACATAACCATTTTGTAAGTCATGCGACTGAAGTATCATTTTATGATCTACAGAACAGAAACCTATTTGAGAAGACAGTAATGTATGCAATATCTCTGGGTGGAGATACCGACACAATCGCAACAATGGCAGCTGCCATCGCCGGGGCATGTTACGGTGAGGAACAATTACCAGAACACTGGAAGTTATGTTGTGAAGGGGTCGACGATGCCCTGGAGGACGCAGAGCAGCTCTACAACCTGTCACAGTCCAGTAACACACAGCCACCCGGCAGTGACACAAAGTTTAAAATTTATGAAAGAGGCTCGCTAAATTGAAAAATTCTCGGTCTCTTTTCATAAATCTTATATGAAATTGAAACTCATTTAATATCCTATATATCATAGTCTTGTATATCATGTGTTGACACTGCTGGATTACTGTGTTGAGAGTTTTATACCCTGGTGTAGAATAAATTATTAGATAGCATTTAATCTTTTTCCAATTCCCTAATTCCATAGAGGAATTTGTTGAGGAATGTCTTTTGTAATTGTTTGAATAACTTGTAATAATTAGTAAGATTGTTTTTTCATTTGTTTTCAATTTTGTTAATGTATTGTATAGATAGATCTGAATGATTCTTAGTACACATAACACTTACTTTGAGAGTATATGGATAAACTGATACTACATATAGTTATGCCTATTTGTTTAAAATCATTCTTGTAAGAACTATTTCTATAGTTCTTGGTACAGGTTTGGGGGTATTGGTCAGTTTATCTGGTGACAGATCTAGTTCAATGTTTCCATCTAAAACTACCACACAGACATGTTATTTTTTTTAAATGCATTGTTTGAAAGGTGAAAAAATAATAGAAATGATGAAAAATGTATCAGTTTATCATAACTTAACACTGCATTTGTCCATTTGTCATCCATCTGTCAACTTTTCCTTTAAAAACTACTACTCAAGAACAGCTTAGTGATCTGGAGCGTCATTGAGCCAACTGGACTCAATTGTTTTTATAAATAAAGATTATGTGTCTCCTGTACCACTTATATTACTACTACTACCACTGCTACTACTACTACTACTACTACTACTACTATTTCTTCTAATTATCGTCTTTATTGATACTTAAAGACAAAATTGAGTCAAAGACAATAGTTGAAATGTGGATTTGAAATACAGTAAAATACTGAAATTTTATTGTACAGCTAGCTGTACGTCTTAAAACCCCAATTAGGATTCCAGCCAGATACATACATAATGATCAGGAAGTTGTGGTCATGTTAATGCTTTTAGGACTGTGGTCCCATGCCACAGTGCCATGTTTGTGGTTCATTCATCCGGTTGCAATTGTCAGTCATTGACATTTTCCTTTAAAACCTTACTATTTCTGAAAGGTTGATAAGATTTCAACCAAATTTACTGTTACATCCTTAGGATCTGAGAATCTAAAATTCTGAAAAGTAATTGGATGGCTATAGGTAGCTGAAGGGCAGGGCCTTAATAGAGCATACATTTCTAGTGTTAGCCTTCAGAAGGGGTTGAAATATTATTATCAAATTAAGCATTTAATATCAGTAGGGTAGCAAATGTTGTATATATAGATAGAGGTTGTGATTTTCGAGGTTGGGTGAGCGACTGCACCTCAAAAAATAGTCATTTTGGTTATTTAGTCTTCACGAACAATAACACCTAAATGACTGAGATTCCTACCATATAACCATATACTTGTATACAATTGCTGTACATGAAGAGACTAGGACAATCGTGCTACCAGGATAGGCAACAGGGTTTAGAGGATCCTAGAGACTAAGTCCCTGGTCATACCTTCAAAGGTTTATATCCCCATCCTATAACCACATATATATACAATTGTTAGGCATGAAGAGAGAAATACACCCATGCTACAAAATAAGGGCCTTCCCCTGAGGACTTGGTCCCCGAGTCATACCATGGAAACAGTCAAGCTCCCCACCCTATAACCATGTAAACAATTGTTCAGCAGGAATAGACGAATACAAGCATGCTACCAGGATTATCTATAGGTCCGACCCTACCTCTTGGGACTTAATTCTTAAGTTGTAATATGGAAAATGTCGATCGCTAGATGCCCAGCGAATTAAATATATATGCAATTGATCCGCTAAAACTAATCATAATAGCAGACTTCAAAATCCTGACCTGTCACCTATTTATGGCCAGCGATATCCTGCTCTTTAAATGACATTGATTTGTCGCCCAAGTCCACGTTTTATTGTTTAATTAGTTTGAAGTACAACTATTAAATCATAAAGGCCTTATTAAAACAATGAAAACAGATGTTTAATTGATATTTTCAGGTATTAAAACAATGTTTTGAAGTAAGCGACCGTACTTAATTATCTTTGATTTTCTAACTGAAGATATGAGAGAGATTAAAAAAAGATGAATCTTGTAGTCATTATTTCGTATGTCATAGCGGTTGTTTTCTCTAGTAATAGGCGGCAGAGATGGTTGAGGAAATCATAAGCTAACTTGTTATAAATCCTGTATAAAAGTTGAGTTAGTTTCTATATTTGTTTCATCAGCATCATCTTCAATACTACATAGGTTACGCTCACTTTCCCTCTCTGCACACCTGGAGTAAGCCCGAGTTTTCTCTGGTCCTGACACTAGACTTGCACATTTTGACAGATACATGTCTTTACCAGACATCCATTCTTCAAAATGTGTAAGTCTGGTGTAAGGGCCAGAGGAAACTCGGGCTACCTTAAATATGTCGTAGCAAAACTACACACGCGGCAAGCCATTTGATCGGTCTCGGGCCAAAAAACTTCCTAATTGCTAGATTGATACATGCTCTTTGAAGATTAGAGAGGAAAAACTCCCAATCTTAAAGCCATTCAATTTTACCGTTACGAGACCGAGCAATTGCTTTGGTGAAAATCAAAGGATCAAACTAGTTTTCTCGTCTCATCCACAATTTGGTGCACACTGAGCCTTCGATTTTGCTATGACATATTCCAGGGGTGTAGAGAGCGAAAGTGAGTGTAATTACTGGAGTATCGAGGATGTTCAGGCATATGCCATCCACGATATCCAGGGGTTACGCTCACGTTCGCTCTCTACCCCCCTGGAATATGTCATAGCAAAATTGAAGGCACGAAGATAGCTGTTTGATTGGTCTCGGGTAGAAAATACTGACCAATCGCGAGGCTGATACCTGTCCTTTGAAGATTACAAAGGAGAGACGCCGGACTTTAAAGCCTGTCAGTGTTTACAGTTATATAATTACACAGTATAAAAACATATAGTTTCATAGCAGAGATCAATCATCTTAATGCAAAAATAAATAGACATTATATCATATTTTTTTTTTTAAGAACAGTTATAATACGTAATTTATTAATAAATAAAAACAAACTATCACAGGTTCCAATCCAGAGAGAAGGTGATTGGGACAGCCCCTACCTAACAAGCTCTCTGGATTTTGTACTTATATATCATTATATACCATAATAAATAAAAGGTTTCTTTTACATTTACTGCATTTAAACATGTCTTTAAAAAAATAATAACAATAGTGAAAAACGAAATGAATATGATATAGACATACTTTCCTAGTTCTACCTAGTAGTGAAGTTTAGGTTTACAAGGGCTGGGGAGCCCCTACCAGCGAGGTCTGTTAAATTCACACTATCTAGTAGCTAATTATAATTTAAACGGAAGACAATTTTCATATAAAAAAGTTTCTGATTGACCCCTGGTATCATAATTAACAAATGCATAAACAGAAAATGTAATTGTATGTGATATTCAGCCGAAAGTGGCTTACAAGACACTGTTTACAATTATGATCAATCACATATACTGCTACGTCTTCTGTACATTTTGCAAGTGAAATTTGTAATTCCTCGGAAGACATTATCAAATTAAAATTTGTCTGTGTTATTAAGACTTGCAATATCATTTCTTATATTATCTGCTACATTAAATACGGATGATCTGATGTCATTATATACATTACAGTCAATCAAAAAGTGTAATTCATCCTCTATACAGTTATTTACATTTGTACATATCTTACACAAGCGTTCCTCTAGTGCCTCTAGTGGAATCACAGGTTTGGCGTATCTGCCAGTTTCCACTGCTAGAGGTAGAGAGCCACATCTAAAATTAAAAAATACTCTTCGTTTGCTCTTTTGTCTAACGAGCTTGACATATGAACCGGTATCAAATTTGATTTAAAAGTTCTGTAAGTTCTCAACTTGTTACCATTTATATTACCACTATCATTCCATATAGACTCGTACCATTCATCAGCACCTCAAAATGATTAGTTTTCTTTCACTCGTCTAATCTTGTGTTTAATAGAAAACGTTGAGTTTACAATTTTATTCAAATTTTTGTCATTAATTATTTTCAAAATTCTAGAATCCCAAGATTTTTTCAGACTTAAGGATCATGTAGATACACTTTTTTCATGATACTGTTATCATCACAATACCGAATTCTTAAAAATAAACGTATCGTTTCTAAAACTGGACTTACATTGCAAGAGTGCCATCCCATATCACCTCTGTGTGCTAAGTTACTTGCTCGACGGGAGGCTCCTAGAAAATATCTACTTGCCTTGTGTAGTATGACAGAAACCTCTCGGTATTTATTTCTATTCCATAATCCACATCCATAAAAAGTACCGGCTCAATTAGAGTTATATATAGCTTGTTAAAAACTTCATATGACATTTCACCGGCATGTGCATATTTTAAATACGACGTTGTAAATGCTCTTCTAGCAGATTTTTAGAGTTCTCTGACAGCAAAATGCAAAACTAAATGTTCCTAAAACCAGAGGCCTAAGTACTTATATTTGCTATTTAAGGCGACAGTTATGTCACCACATGAAAATTTATAATCAGTAATAGGGGTGAAATTATTTCTAAAATGGACTATGTTAGTTTTGTCTTGATAAACTTCGATCTTCCCCTTTTTACACCATTTATTTAAAACCTAAAAGAATCCGTTGCATAGGATTTTCATCAGTGGCAATGAGTGCAATGTCATCAGCGCACAGAGGTATGGAGAGAATACATGAGTCAATATCAATACCACATTTCAAACCATTAATATCTTTTGCTGAATCATTTATGCACATAGAAAAAAATGTTGGTGAAGCATTACAACCTTGTTTTAGACCTAACTTCATATCCATGGGTGGCGTTCAAACACGATTTATTCTAATCCTACATTCATAGTTAAAATATAATGATTTGATAGCATTTTAAAAAACGTCCATTTTTAACAAAATGTTCTAGCTAAGCCCATAAAAGATCTCCGTTCACACAATCAAACGCTTTCATCATATCAACAAAACATACAATAGTTGATTTTTTCTTGATTTTTCTGTTATTCAAAACAGAGTACAATATATACTGGTAGTCTAAACAACTTCTGTTCTTTCTAAACCCGATCTGTTCATCTGCAAGTAATTTATTTGTTTCTAACCGTTTTGATAACCGATGATTTAAAACATCGGCATAAAGTTGACATGGGATTTATATAAGTGCAATTCCTCTATAACTACATGTAATTGGATCTAGTGGATCCTTCCCTGCTTTCAGAATAGGGTTAATAATACTTTGAGTCCACTTATCCGGAATTCTACCATAATAAAAACAATTAACAATGATAGTATGTAAGAGGTCATTATACAAGCTGGGTTTCTGAGGACATGGCTCTGTATGTTGTCAATACCAGCCGCTTTGTTTAACTTGGCACGATAAACCGAAATTTCAACTTCGATACGTGATATCGGTAAATTCAATACACTGTGTGTTGTCAATATCAAGTTTGGGTCCCAACAACGTATTAATGTCTTCTTTTTGAAGGTTCTGGAAGGTGTCGGATCATACCTTTAGAGATTCATTAGAGTTTTTCGTGTAATATTACCTTTTGCATCTCTTATTGTATTTGGTATGGTATTCAGTCTGTCTTTTAGTGTACCTCACTGACCTATCTTGTTCCATAAATCGTTAGGGAAATCATTACACATGTCAAGCAGTTCGTCTTGTTTGACTTTTTGATATCTTCGTATATCACGTCTTAAGTATTTTGTTAAAAAGTTTAGTTTTAAAGTTTACAGGTATACACAAAGTTAAGAACAGACTTATTCAGAAAATATAAGCTTCAGGGTCAGCTTCCGTATCTTTAATTGTCGGACACTGCATCAACATTTCATAGCTATCACCACCAGCTAATTGGTACAGATTCGTATTTGTATCGCGGCAACTAGTCCGAATTATTATGACGTTTTATCGACTTTTTTTTCATATCGGTCTGTCGTTAATCGACGTAAGACCGATATGAAAAAAGTCGATAAAACGTCAGAATAATTCGGACTACGCGGAAACATGCCGACATATCAACAAGATTTGTTTTTATCAAGTTTTCTGTATTTTGCAATCGTGTGTCAAATAGTCATACTGTCAACATAAGGTTTTTTCTGCACGTGTTGTCTTGTTGAAATGATGACGTAAGAGTTGATTAAAGTTTAACTTTGAAATTTAATAAGAGATAACTTTTGACTTGACGGCGGGATATTCTGGAGTGTCCAAAATAAACCCGATGTGTTCCGTACAGAGTCTAGAACCTAACTGATTTACAATACAACATATCACAGTTAAATACATGTACGTACAATAAAGGTACCTGAGGTTTAAGTGACAGGTGTCGCTAATTGTTAGATCAATTACCCGTGGTCAGTGTCCACAAGGTAAAGGCTATTACACTGATCCTGTTGCGTAATGTTGCGTAATTTGATGGACAATAGTAATGAGTTATGAAGGTAAGTTTACAGAGAGTACGTACTTAGGGATATAAAAACTTCACACATGAGTCTTATCTCAATTGTCACAAAGGATATACAGTAATTACAATTAAGGATAATGCCACATGTATATAGCCAAATTATGTCTAAATGTCATATAAACGTGTGTTGCATTAATTCGCACTTGAGTTGTTAGATATGGACAATTCGAAATATAAATTTAATAATAGATGGTAAGATTAAAGTTTTTCATGAATAAGCAATTATTTACTCAATTAATTTCAGCACTAGTTTATCACAAAATTTCTGTGTGATACTGTTATGTCACTTATCATTAGAAGGAGCATCGTAGAAATACAATGGTTCTGCTCTGGATACACTTATCTTCACAAGGTTCACAAGACAAATTAATCAAACCTGCTTCCTGTCCAGTCTAATCAAATGTTGAGAACAGGATAATTATAAATTAATCGATTGTAATTCATCAATTATATGCCTAAAAACAATTATTTGCTTTTATAATTGATTATAAAAACAGCTGTTTTTATCTAACTAAACTGATATTATTTTATGCTGATAACGATTAGCACTGCAACAATTACGTCATAAGTTTCATAACATATCAAGAACGTATTTTTCGTCCTTTACAAGGATCAAAATCAATGACACGGTATTAATGAACACAAAGTAAAGTGTATGAATGCATATCTCATAAACAGTGAATAGCGCAAAAATTAAATTAACCATAAACGTATAAAACAGCAGAAACGTTTAACTCGTAAATAATTCTGTAAGGAGATGGTACGTCTGACAGAGCGATGCATAACTGTAACACGTGCTGCTCTTTATTATTCAGTACACATGTATACTTGCGGAGTGTATATATCATATTAGGGCATGAGTAGGGAACAAAGAAAATTAACCTCTTGGCCACCGCGGACGCCAGTCATCTATAAACAATGATACCTCATCACTAAGTATTTTAACGGGGGATTAAAATGACGTCGTTCTGTTTGGCATTGTAAACCACTTTACACGACTCTTTGTTGTATATGACTTTACCTGTGCTTGACCAACTAGATAGTGTTTACTTTCCCTGTTTTGATTTTCCTGTAGTGTCGATAAATAGATTATCAGTGACCACGATGGTTGTACTGCTTTCATTAATCTTCCTTGCGTTTTTAATAGAACCATAATCGTTAGCAATACATCAGAGAAGACTTTCGGATATTACCATGGCGTTTTTTAACCAAAGTAGAATCATAGATACATGTACCCACCGCGAATGAGAAAACAATTTATAAGTATTTGTTATTTTCATTCGCGATAGGTTTGGTTTGGTTTCATATGGTTTAATGTCCTATCAACAGCTGTGTTCATTTAAGGACGTTCCTCCATGGATATTGGTGTATTTGCCTCTTTGTGATAGCGCGGAGCTGATGCCCACTTTATAGCCATCTCACCGAGATACTATGCCGGAAAAGGCAACAACGTAACATTCGGCACCAGTTTTTCCATTTCCCTAATTGCTGAACGTTAAGCAGGGACTAACAACAGCCATTTAATGATTTTGAAGAAAGGTAGTAAGAAGTAGAGAGGAATATAAAGATACCAAAGTGTTACAATAGGTGCAGCAGATTTGTTTTAGTCGCCCCCCCCCCCTCCCAAGTAGAGGGCACAAAAGTAAATCCCCAATTCTGCAGGGGTTCCCTCATTAGTCCTTCCTTACGATCTTGCAGTGGGTAACAACGAGTGTATCCTTTTTTCAATCCCCGACCTGCATTGTTGAGTACTTGTGACTTGATCGACCTATTTAGCAATTGTTACTTGGTTAACATAGCATACGAGCGATTTACGAGTGTTAAGGCGTCTGACATTCTGATACCACTAGCCCTCCACTACTGGGTTGCGGGTTCTAAACCTACTTGGGGCAGTCGCCAGGTCAGTGGATTTCCTCCACTATCAAAACCTGGCACGTCCTTAAATGACCATAGCTGTTGATAGGACGTAAAACACAAACCAAAACTTTAAAATACGGCTAAGTAGAGTTTTCTGATCTGTTAACGATAAACTTTTAACTGGACGGATGTCTATATTTGCCAAAATGCTTCTAGCCAGCAATACTTCTGTCAATTCGACTGGGAGAACAATTTTATACATAAATCATATCTTTAGGACCCTTTCTTCTTTTTCATTACCAATGTATAATATAATTGTCATGTATTTTTGACACGTATATATATATATATATATATATATATATATATGTATATATATATATGACCCCCCCTATTTTGTTTTGATTGCTGTCATTTTACTAATAGGTTAGGCACTTGCTATCTTGAATACAAAAAAAAGTTGTTCAGATTTTAATTATGATTTAATTATGGGTTATTTGGAGTATTAGCTTACTTTGGAATGGTATTTTGATAACTTGTAAGATAACCTGACATGACTGTGGTTTTAAATGCATTGAACAATGTATTTATAACCTACATTTGTATGTCTTCTGAAATCTATAAATAGCTTTCTATTGTTTTAACTTTAGTAAACCAGTCGGTGGCGACTTTTGAAGCACGAACTTAATTGGAGCGTAGCACAACCTCGTTTAGATAGATAGGTATTATATATAACAACTCCATTTGTTAGTCACGATTTTTGTAACACAATAGAATGAAGCACATGGGGTTTTTCCTTTGTTATAAGTGCACGATTTTTGGATACACAATTCAAAGATTTAAATTCCAAAGAATACCAAATTTATGCTGAACGTTGAGCGAGCCAGATCCGTAACCACACTTGTTTGAACATCAGAAATTTCCAAAATGTCGTCTCTTCTCCCGACCCTGGGTAAGTTTTTAAATTTCTTTTTTGATCGATAAATAAGACAGCAAAAAATTGAAGTGTTCATTTACACAATTAAAATTGGAAATTTATGTATGTAAATGATTTATTTATTATACACTTGTAAGAAAGTTTCACTCTATATCACTAATCCTAGTCCCAGGGATATTTTATAATCCGGGGATTAAATGTTTTTCGCATGCTTTCTTGGTAATGTGTTAAAATTATATTTGAATCAATTTCATTTGCGATTTTTGGAAACTTTTCCTGAAATGAGTTTTATGAAACTCAGTTAGACGTTTTATCCAAGCTCAGCTTAATGAAAAGTTCTGGATCAAATCTGGAAACTCATATGTAGTTATACTTTAAGTAGAACAACGTCAATGTAACATTAATTCGTCTGTGATTATTATTTTGCTTTTTAGGGCTGTTAGTGTTATCTAAGTTAATCAGAGAGAACAACAATCGTTTACTAACTCAGTCTTTTTCAAAATCGTCAGATACGACGTTACTGATTTGTGGATCAAATAGAGGATTTTAATAGTCTTCTTATATAAAAGCTACCGACATTACTCTGAATCTGATGTGATATTATTATTGTTCATTTCATCTTGTATTCAAAAAGTTATATGTGTTTTACAGCATCTATGACAGTTTCGGTATTGAGTAACATGATCTAACGACTCTTCACTGATGTTAGTATGCAGAATATCTTTCCATTTGCTTTGACGGTTTATTGATTTTCAACGACAGTGCAGATAAGGATGTAATACAAAAATAACCTTCATTTATTTTACAACAATTGTGAAACAAAATGCAACTTGTTTTAATCTCTCTAAATACAATACAAATAACAATACAAATAATTAGTTTATCATGAGTATAAGTTTATTTATTAATTTTCATGGACATATAGGCATGACTCCAAAACATCATTCCAATGTGTTTCTTTAGCGTTAATGTCACACGTTTTGCCTCACTCTGTTCTTTGCACGTAGTGAGCATAAACCTTTGGATTTCGAAGACGGAGTTGTCGAGGATATATTTTCTTGCATAGAAGGTCATACCGTACACACTTCCATCACAGTTTATAGCTTTATTCCTTCTTTGTTGTTTGTCTTTGTTATCACTGTCATCAATGTAACATAACATAGCGTTATATTGTACATGTAATTGGTTATCAAATACCGTGTATGACTATCATTTTACCTTTGTGACCTCTAAATGACCTTTAAATAGAAATTAATTAGGGTATAACCATTTCACACACTCCCATGACGTAGATGAATGGATAATGAGGTCAAATTTACATTTTTCAAATATAGCTTTTGCTATTCCCTAAACACACAAAACACTTTAAGGTTTCCAGAACTTCTAAATAAATGGTTGGTTCCAAGTTGACGACAGAGCTTGTTTGAGTTTCTCTTTGAACGTAAAAGTTCCCTTATTTTGATACAGAAGGGAAAAATGCTGCTGTAATTGTCTAATATTAAATACTTCCGATTGTTTTGGAAACTGTGCCGAAAAATAATATTATATATAAATATCATATTAGTGTGGTTATTTTAACCCCAAAGACATGAACAAACCGGATAAACATGTTTTAATTGCAAGCGTTCTCGATTTTGATAGGGTTGCTACTGATCTTGGTGAGTTGTGTTATGGCGGAAAAGTGTGACGTCAGCTCAAGCAAAACCGATCCGTCAATGAAGAAGAAAGTGGAATGTGACTACGGCTGTTGTACGAAAGGGAACGTGGCTGAATGCTGCGAAAGGTAAGCAACGTACAAATATAAGCGAAAATTCTACTGAAAATAGGATATAGTTAATTGTAGACGGTCTTACATAAAGACGATGCGCTTGGTTGTCTTTGTGTTTTACTGGAGCTGTTTAGTTGTCTTTGATGTTTTACATGAGCTGTTTAGTTGTCTTTGTGTTTCACATGAACTGTTAAGTTGTCTTTGTTGTTTTACATTAGCTGTTTAGTTGTCTTTGTTGTTTTACATGAGCTGTTTAATTGTCTTTGTGTTTTACCTGAGCTGTTTAGTTGTATTTGTGTTTTCCATGAGCTGTTTAGTTGTCTTTGGTGTTTTACATTAGCTGTTTAGTTGTCTTTGTTGTCTTACATGAGCTGTTTAGTTGTCTTTTTGTTTTACTGTAGCTGTTTAGTTGTCTTTGTTGTTCTACATAAGCTGTTTAGTTGTCGTTGGGTTTTACATGAGCTATTTAGTTGTCTTTGTTGTTTTACAAGAGCTGTTTAGTTGTCTTTGTTGCTTTACATTAGCTGTTTAGTTGTCTTTGTTTTTTTAAATTAGCTGTTTAGTTGTCTTTTTGTTTTACTGGAGCTGTTTAGTGGTCTTTGTTGTTTTACAGGAGCTGTTTAGTTGTCTTTGTTTTTTTAAATTAGCTGTTTAGTTGTCTTTGTTTTTTTAAATTAGCTGTTTAGTTGTCTTTTTGTTTTACTGTAGCTGTTTAGTTGTCTTTGTTGCTTTACATTAGCTGTTTAGTTGTCTTTGTTGTCTTACATGAGCTGTTTAGTTGTCTTTTTGTTTTACATGAGTTATTTAGTTGTCTTTGTGTTTTACCTGAGCTGTTTAGTTGTATTTGTGTTTTACATGAGCTGTGTAGTTATCTTTGTTGTTTTACATGAGCTGTTACGTTGTCTTTTTGTTTTACTGGAGTTTAGTTGTCTTTGATGTTTTACATGAGCTGTTTAGTTATCTTTGTTGTTTTACATGAGCTGTTTAATTGTATTTGTGTTTTACATGAGCTGTGTAGTTGTCTTTGTTGTGTTACATGAGCTGTTAAGTTGTGTTTTTGTTTTACTGGAGCTGTTTAGTTGTCTTTGTGTTTTACTGGAGATGATTAGTTGTCTTTGTGTTTTACATGAGCCGTAGAGTTGCCTTTGTGTTTTACTGGAGATGTTTAGTTGTCTTTGTGTTTTACATGCGCTGTTTAGTTGTCTTTGTTGTTCTACATAAGCTGTGTAATTGTCGTTGTGTTTTACATGAGCCGTTTAGTTGTCTTTGTTGTTTTAAATTAGCTGTTTAGTTGTCTTTGTTGTCTTACATGAGCTGTTTAGTTGTCTTTATTGTTTTACATGAGCTGTTTAGTGGTCTTTGTTGTTTTACAGGAGCTGTTTAGTTGTCTTTGTGTTTCCCATGAACTGTTAAGTTGTCTTTGTTGTTTTACATTAGCTGTTTAGTTGTCTTGGTTGTTTTACATGAGCTGTTTAGTGGTCTTTGTTGTTTTACATAAGCTGTTTAGTTGTTGTTGTGTTTTACATGAGCTATTTAGTTGTCTTTGTGTTTTTCATAAGCTGTTTAGTTGTCGTTGGGTTTTACATGAGCTATTTAGTTGTCTTTGTTGTTTTACACGAGCTGTTTAGTTGTCTTTACTGGAGCTGTTTAGTTGTCTTTGATGTTTTACATGAGCTGTTTAGTTATCTTTGTTGTTTTACATGAGCTGCTTAGTTGTCTTTGTTGTTTTACACGAGCTGTTTAGTTGTCTTTACTGGAGCTGTTTAGTTGTCTTTGATGTTTTACATGAGCTGTTTAGTTGTCTTTTTGTTTTACTGGAGCTGTTTAGTGGTCTTTGTTGTTTTACATAAGCTGTTTAGTTGCCGTTGTGTTTTACATGAGCTGTTTAGTTGGCTTTGTTGTTTTACATGAGCTGTCTAGTTGTCTTTGTTGTTTTTCATGAGCTGTTTAGTTGTCTTTGCTGTTTTACATGAGCTGTTTTACAGGATATATTATTTGTCTTTGTTGTTTTACATTAGCTGTTTAGTTGTCTTTGTTTTTTTAAATTAGCTGTTTAGTTGTCTTTTTGTTTTACATGAGTTATTTAGTTGTCTTTGTGTTTTACATGAGCTGTGTAGTTGTCTTTGTTGTTTTATATGAGCTGTTTAGTTGTCTTTGTTGCTTTACATGAGCTGTTTAGTTGTCTTTGCTGTTTTACATGAGCTGTTTTACAGGATATATTATTTGTCTTTGTTGTTTTACATTAGCTGTTTAGTTGTCTTTGTTTTTTTAAATTAGCTGTTTAGTTGTCTTTTTGTTTTACTGGAGTTTAGTTGTCTTTGATGTTTTACATGAGCTGTTTAGTTGGCTTTGTTGTTTTACATGAGCTGTTTAGCTGTCTTTGTTGTTTTTCATAAGCTGATTAGTTGTCGTTGTGTTTTACATTAGCTGTTTAGTTGTCTTGGTTGTTTTACATGAGCTGTTTAGCTGTCTTTGTTGTTCTACATAAGCTGTGTAATTGTCGTTGTGTTTTACATGAGCTCTTTAGTTGTCTTTTTGTTTCTCATGAACTGTTAAGTTGTCTTTGTTGTTTTACATTAGCTGTTTAGTTGTCTTTGTTGTTGTACATGAGCTGTTAAGTTGTCTTTTTGTTTTACTGTAGCTGTTTAGTTGTCTTTGTTGCTTTACATTAGCTGTTTAGTTGTCTTGGTTGTTTTACATGAGCTGTTTAGTGGTCTTTGTTGTTTTACAGGAGCTGTTTAGTTGTCTTTGTTGGTTTACATGAGCTGTTTAGTTGTCTTTATTGTTTTACATGAGCTGTTTAGTGGTCTTTGTTGTTTTACAGGAGCTGTTTAGTTGTCTTTGTTGCTTTACATGAGCTGTTTAGTTGTCTTTTTGTTTTACTGGAGTTTAGTTGTCTTTGATGTTTTACATGAGCTGTTTAGTTATCTTTGTTGTTTTACATGAGCTGTGTAGTTGTCTTTGGTGTTTTACATGAGCTGTTAAGTTGTCTTTGTGTTTTACTGGAGCTGTTTAGTTGTCTTTGTTGTTTTTCATAAGCTGTTTAGTTGTCGTTGTGTTTTACATGAGCTATTTAGTTGTCTTTGTGTTTTACATGAGCTGTTTAGTTGTCTTTGTTGTTTTACATGAGCTGTTTAGTTGTCTTTGTTGTTTTACATGAGCTGTTAAGTTGTCTTTGTGTTTTACAAGAGCTTTTCAGCTATCTGTGTTTTACCGGAGCTGTTTAGTTGTCTTTGCTGTTTTACATGTGCTGTTTAGTTGTCTTTGTTGTTTAATATGAGCTGTTTAGTTGTCTTTGTGTTTTACTGGAGCTGTTTAGTTGTCTTTGTGTTTTACTGGAGCTGTTTAGTTGTCTTTGTGTTTTACATGAGCTGTTTAGTTGTCTTTGTTGTTTTACACGAGCTGTTTAGTTGTCTTTACTGTTTTACATGAGCTGTTTTACAGGATATATTATATTCTTTGTTTACATGCTTTGTTTGGTTGTCTTTGGTGTTTATATTTATATGATCTATTTTGTTGCCTCTGTATTTTACATTGACCATTTGGTTGTTTTTGATGTTTAACATTTAAATGGTGTGTAGTGGAATAATTATATTGGATTTTCTTTCATTTTGTTTTCAACAGAAAAGTTGGAGCACTCGTCGGTATCATCGTCGGCATCGTTGTTCTCATTGTCGTCATCGTCATCGTCGTCATCTGTTGTTGTAAATACAAAAAGAACAAGAAAATCCGCGATGAACAGCAGGCTAACGGTAAATAACAGCTACTTTGGGTTTTGATGCCAAGAGTGTTTGGTAGCGGTTTAAAACGAACCCCAATAGACATGCAATTTTATTTATACTAGTTTAACTAAGTTTGTTTTGATCGATGTTCAGATCATTGTCCATGTTATTTACAGAAACTGTTAAAGAGACATCGCAGGGAAACAATAAATGATGTTATTACACTGTAGCTTACTTTATTTCGTGTGATGTTCATTTTCATGTAACTTTGCATGAACTATTGATGGCTAATTCAGATAACTGGTGTGTAACGTAAGACACGTACGTGATGTATTTTTACATAGCGTGGGTACAGATAGATCAGTTCGCAAACAAGAATCCTGATCGAAGTAAAAAGGTTATAATTAGATGAATATTTATTAATTAAAGATATATATATGCACCTGTTATCCTAACCCAGTACAGTGTGTTGCAATTTCGTACAAGATACTCCACTGACAACAATTGTAAGGAATATCAAAATAAGGTACCCACACTCTCGTGCAATGTACCATTTGTGTACCACGAAGTTAATACGCTGTATATCTATTATTCCAGATAATAACACTTCCCCTCCAGGAGGCATGGTGATGGTCCCCGTCAGCTATCTACAACAACTTGGCCAGAACCAGGGAAGCGCCCCGGGGTACTCGGCCGCCAGTGGACACCAATCCAATCCCCCTCCTGGGTACCCTGGGGAGAGTAACTACACGCTTCCCCAGTCGTACGATTCCTACCCGGAAAAGTCCTGAGAAACAACTTCGTCAGTGAAAAGATTCATAACTTCTTTTAACTGGAATCACGTTTGTGTGGCTACGTTGGATTCTGAAAACAAATCGGAGAGAGAAAACGTTTTATTAAATTAAAATTGTAATTGTAAATAATGTTCCGGAATGTCAGTCCTCGGAAAGTATTTGAAGTTGCCGGAGACTTTTTTCACAAACTAAATATTCGCGAAAGAAACTCGATCATACCATGTGGGTTCCCCTCGTATTTTTGTTGCTTTCATTTTGATTCGTAGATCTCCTTGATGTTGTAGATGTGTGCTATCTTCCTCAATTCGAGGTGTAATGAATCATATAAAAGATAATTTCAATGGATGATAGTTTTAATTTGTTGATTATCAGAGGACACATTTGAAAAGCAAATTACCAGAAAAACTTGCTTTGGTAAGTTTGACTTTTCATAGTATTATACACTGTAACAGAATCATAATAATCGACTTTAATAAACGACTATTAAGAGGGACAACTTAATACAATTTATAACACCGATAGATCACCGACCTCCGTCAGTGAGACGATACCCGCATGGGTGGTATCATGTAGGCGATAAACCCGTCAACAACCAACCAACCAACCAACCAGCACACTAATGAAAATATCATCCAAGGTGTCTATGTCTTTTGACATATCAATTTTATCATATCTTTATATTTTACTTTGGCTGTCCTAGGTATTCTTTCTTGTCTACATAAACTAATTCGCCAGACGTGAAGTTGTACATAAATCAAAGGATCATTCAATAATCGTTGAACGTTTGGAATGTCCTAGGTCATATACCTGTAATAAAAGGTAGTAGACGGTACACATCCTCGATTTACATGGGTTACGCCCACTTTCGCTCTCTGCACCCCTGGACTATGTCATAGCAAAATTGAAGGCACATGGCTAGCAATTTGTTTGGTGTCGGTTATAAAAACCCTGACCAATTTCTACCAGGCTAATACTTGTCCTATGAAGATTACAAAGGAGCGACACCCGGCTTCAAAGCCAAGAGGTTTTACCGTTACGCGACTGCGAGATTCTTTTGATGAACATCAAAGGATCAAACAAGTCTGTTCGTCTCATCCACACTGTGGCACACACTGGGCCTTGGCTTTTGCTATGACATAATTCCAGGGATGCAGAGAGCGTATACGTAGGTGAGCGTAACCCCTAGATATCAAGGATTGATTGTACACAGCGATGATAAAAATAGTCACAGTACAGGTCACACTGTTGTAAATATACATATTAAATTAAATTATTCAATATATGTTGTTTCTCAAATATTTTGCTCATTTGTATTTGTGTTTGATTCTTCTTCATGTCTAGTTTTGTTTTAATAAAAGTTTAAACAAAATAAACGTGTTGAATTTTGAAAAAATATTGACATCATCCAGACATCTTTGTTGATTTCGCATGATACATGTATTGACATCAGTGACAGATGTAAGATTTACAATACCACCGAGTAAACGTACACTATCACCGATGGAACTACCGTAGAGAACTTTCCTGAGTCATTTCTCACCTGTACATCACATGTAATCTACATCTTGCGCTGGGTTTTACAGACATATTACAGTCCGTGATTCAAAATCGAGGTATTTGGAAACAAAACAGAAGACTTAATAAAGATACCACTTCTGTTCTTCTCAAAATATCAGAGATCGAACTTGGAAGCTGTAAACTGCCTACCTTACTACCGTTGATATCAAAACAATACCCAATTGTCAAAAAACCTTAGCTCGAAGTCAAGGTACTTGAATAATGGAAAGTTGCCATGGAGACGCTTGCAAAAAGTACAAGGAGAATCAAACCAGATATTCTAAAAGGATAAAAGTCTTCTACCTCATCCAAGACAACCTTCATGTAAATATAATTAAAATCCAAGTACTGTAACGTCCTCATACCGAGAGCTGGGGTAGTGGCAACAAAACGACAAGTAATGTAACGTCCTCACACCGAGAACTGGGGTAGTGGCAGAAGAACGACAAGGCACTCTAATGAGCATTATCAGAAACTGTGCCACACAGTACATCAGTAACTCACATTCCAGTTAGTTGTAGGAGACCCTTGATGTAAACTCTCGTAGCTTTGAATTAGGGTTAATATTTAGACTTGTGTCTAAAGTTACTGAAGTAAATATGTGTCCAGCTGGATAACAGCTGTAGGGATTTACATGTAGAACAAGAACATGCTAGAGGAGGGAGTTATTATAATGTCATCTAAATTCAGCAGTTGTAGCGAATGCTTGTTGTTTAAAAGATTGGGAAATTGAGTTTAAATGATTCGCATACTTTTGTATCTGATACAAAACGGTGCGGTGATATGTTATCTTCGACGGACTTATTGTGTGGGATATTACTGATGTTAATAGCATCCCATGTTGGCAAAATCTACTTTTATATAATTCAGAACTACCGAAGAGTTGTAATTATCCATGCGAACAGCCTTAATATCGAATTTGTGCTACATCAGCAATCATGTTATGAAGTTTTCAAGCTAGTTTCAAAACTCCATTAGGACCAGTTTTAGATAGAGGAAGCGAATACATTGTTGTTGAAACTGGGTGGAAATCCAATGGTTTCTCTTGAGCTTTCCTAAGGTAACTTTGTATTTGGTTGGATTAATAATTGCAATGCCCCTGATTAAGCTTGCGTCTCCTATGAGGAGTTAACAGAGGGATAACATCCACTTGCATGAACCTGAATGATAAATTTTGAGTCCATACTCAATGCCTTAGTAACTCAATAAGGAATTGGAAAGTCAAGAAGTGACCTACACAGATGAACTTTGTGAATGATACAGGAAGAACAGAAATGAACGACAGAAGGGAAGCAGATTCTAAGCCACTACAGATGACTGGGAAATCTGGGCAGATATAAGGGGAAGGGGACAGTTCTCATCAGAGGTCATGACGACACGACTGTGATCAGCAGACTTCGTGCTGTAGTCCAGACGCAGAGTCGAATATCTCGGGAGGAGAGGTTCATGAGGTAAACAAAATGTAAGAAAATGGCAGCAGTGTGTTAGAAAAGAGAACGTCTGAGAGAATGTTTTAGGGAGCAGGGTATATGAACTACGTGAGGCCTGCAGGTTGGCTGTAGATGAGGTGCAGGCTCTAGTCATTGTTGAAAGCTATGTGACTGATTGAAGTGTGACGGTACAATAGATAAAAAAAGACGGGGGAAATGTTTTACAGAGGCAGAAATAGGATGTTTGAAGACTACAATGTGCAGGCTCTAGGCATTGTAAAAAACTATATGACTAATTGAGGTGACTGGTATAGATCAGACAAAAAGATGACAGACGTGATGTTTACAGAGGCAGAAAGAGTGCCATTGTGGCTGTAGAGGAAAACAAATATAAACGATGGAGAGGTCAACAAGTACCAATACTGATCATATTAGTCGCATCTACGGAGGGGTTACGAAAGGACTAAAACGTCATGTGAAGGAGTACCACCTGAAAGCGGATCCTACTAGGGAACAAAAAGAATAATATGGAAATAACATTATTTGTATAGCATTCATCCCATAATACATAACTTGTGGAGGTTTGGGGAAAGAAGAGGCCTGCTGTATTCCACTGCATGATTGTAAGAGGCGACTCATGTTGGGCCCTCTCCCGAATCGGGGTTTTATTCCGTGTATGTTGCCTCCATTGGAACATTGGTCTCTTTTCCCCTATCTTCCATGTCTTTTTCTTTTCCACCTTCTTTCTGTTTCAGGCGGTGTCTCCCTAGGTACCCGTCATCATATGACCCTGGCTGTTGTGTCTCTCTAGGTACCCGTCATCATATGACCCTGACTGTTGTGTCTACCTAGGTACCCGTCATCATATGACCCTGGCTGTGGTGTCTCCCTAGGTACCCGTCATCATATGACCCTGACTGTTGTGTCTACCTAGGTACCCGTCATCATATGACCCCGGCTGTTGTGTCTCCCTAGGTACCCGTCATCATATGACCCTGGGTGTTGTGTCTCCCTAGGTACCCGTCATCATATGACCCTGGCTGTTGCGAGGACGTTTAACTCCTTACAAAAAAACCCAACACCCTGTAATGTATGTACATTTTATGAATATGTATATATAATTAATTTCTTTACCACTTGCCGCTGTATTCTTTTACAAAACGTATATGACGCCAAAATGAATAATTCAAAGTATTATGGGAAAAGGTAGTCCGCTGTTTGATAAATTTGTGTGACTTTAGAATCTATGGAAATTGTGGAAATTGAAGTTGAGGCACGACCACCTTCGATTTAACTAACTTAGCTGTCAATCACAGAAGCGCGGGCGGCAAGGTAGTTCAGTTACCTTTGGGTTTATATTTTTGTGTCTACCATTATTCCAGCGGCTCTTTGGGTTCATTCAGTCGGAAATGGTATCGCTCTGTAAGTTATAAACAATTGTGTGAAATACGTGTGTCGTGTTACAGTTCTTCATTCCGTACGTCTGCTGTTTAGCTGTATCAGCTTGTTTAAACATTTTTTTAAACGTATTTTTATTTAACAGTCAATTTAGTTTAATTACACAAAAAGTTTGAGTTGGTCTACCATATCTGTGAATGATCATTTTAATTTGAAAACATGTTTTGTTACTTTGCAATTTTTTAAAAGTAAAAAGGTGATATTTGAATTTTTAATTAAAGCTTACTTTGTCGAATTCAATTAAGATCTTTCATCACTGATGCCCTAAGATTCCTCAGCTTAATGTGTCGATAACTGAAAAAAAAAGTTTTATTGAATCTTTAAGCTTTTTTAATTCATACATTTATACATAATTCTTATCTTAATCATCCCAGTTAAATGTATCAAGAGGAAGTTTTGCAGAGGATGTTAAATGCTGAATGATTCATGATAAATTGTATTTGTTTACTGTCGTCATGCTAACCAGACATGGTAGAACGAGTCTCGAGTTGTACGACCGTGTTACTATTCAGATTGACACTCGATGCAGCTAAAATTGCAATGACAATGGCAGGCGGACATTAGCTGAAAATAAGACATTTCTTTAGAGTATGTTTTTGAAGTGATTCCATATTTATTTATATTTCTTGAAGAACTTTCAATGATACAAAGACAACACTATATGATGGACCGGCGTCTTTTCATAGCAGGTAAGATGTGATGTTGTTTGTTTATTAACTTAGGTCACGTTGCTCCTTACTCCCGCATATACTAAACATGTATTATGTGGCGATATGTGTAACATGGTAGAGATATACCATAATTAATTAATTGGTTAAATGACACAACAGGTGCAATTGGCATTGGTTTAAAACTGTATTTATTTCTTGTATCATACAATACATATTATATACTTCATACCATTACTATGGACCCTACAGGGAATGCTTTAGCTTACCACCCTTCTTTGTAATTTATAGCGAAGTTGACAAATATTCACCATCGATGAAAAATGTCTTTTTGAAAAGTTTGGTTATTGGTAAAGAGAATGATAAAACTGGTAATTAAAGTTCCTTTGTTCCTTAATTTTTGAATAATAAAGGGAATTACAGACTTATGTAGATCATCTACCCGACGAACAGTAAGATAGTCACACAAATCTATATCTTGGGACAGCTACCAATATATGTTAATTACAATTCAGTATTTTCAAATTTAGCTCGTAACAACTCGGCGATGGTGTTTTTCTACGTATAAAGATCTACATATCTGAAATGTATCTCTAAAGCCTATCTTGATAAAACTCATTAGTACGGGGTTTAAGTTTTGGAGGACTTTCTAGTCTACAACAGAAGGAAGAAAGAATTCAGTTAAAAAGTGTTTTAGAATTATTTGGACTCCTTAAACAATTATAGTTATTACATGAAACCCAAAAGAAAACATTTCCCCCCAAAGAAATAGCCGCTGTGTTACATTAATGCTGTCATTAATTAAGTCTAGTTGTGATATTTTTACAAGTGTGCATCTTCTCTACAAACAGCGCACGTACGTAAACGTCAATGACATCAACAACCACACCGCAACACATGAATCTGTTCCCACCTAGACTATCTCAATTTTCGGGGTGTTGCTGCAATGCACGATGGCACCAGCATCGTTTGCATACACAATGCCTTACACTGCTCCTATTTCTTGCAAGACAATTCGAGTGTTCACCTTATATGTATTTCATAGATGGCACTGATGTGCATCTCTCTCTCAGTTCAATTCTAGCTTGACAATCGAACTCTCTCTCTCACAAGTTAAAGAGACAATTGTCGTTGAAATGTTCTTTGACCAAATTTTAAAATTAAGGGTTGAAGATAGCATTTTTTTCTCGATGGCCAAAACTCACGATATGTTGGAGTTTTTGTCGAACAGTATTGTGACTTTCCCTTTAGATCTGAGCTCATTTTCACAACTTTCTAAGCTAGGGTCATGGTCATACATGTAAGTATGTCTGAACCAAGGCTAAGTAGATGTACTCTTAGGACGTCGTGGAAGGTTTCACATGGCTTAAATAACAAATGCTGGACAGAATACCTTGGATCTACTTCACACTGGTAAGGGGACCAGTGGGACCATAAACCCTCAATTCCCCACCCTCCACCGGCGCAAAACTTAATTAAATAATTTTAAGATCTTTCTGTCTCGGGATAAAGTTCCAATGGGTAAATCGCACGAAGTAAAAGCAAAAACTAAGAATTCTACAATAAAATAATGGTGTTTTTTTGTATCAGTATATACATAACTTCTGAAGACGTTCAGAATGCCACAAACAGTGTTTTTTTTTTTTTTTTTTTTTTTTTTTTTTTAATTTTTCTGGATGTAAATGCGTACAGACAGCTACGCACTTTTTTAGTATCTGCTAATAATAGGCTATCCACCTTTCGCACCTTTGCTTCACCCCTTAACACTTTCACGTATCAGTCCACCAGTAGACACATTATAGAGATGAAGGGGTTCATTCAGCACACTGTTGCCCATCCTCGATATCCAGGGGTTACGCTCACTTTCGCTCTCTGTACCCCTGGAATATGTCATAGCAAAATTGAAGGCTCAATGTGCGCCACCTTGTTGATGAGATAAGAAGACTAGTTCGATCCTTTCATATACATCAAAATAATCTCGCGGTCAGGTAACGGTAAAAATGGAGAGGCTTTGAAGTCGGGCGTCTCTCCTTTGTAATCTTCAAAGGACAGATATGAGCCTAGCGATTGGTAAGGTTTATTTTACCTGAGACCAATCAAACAGCTATCTTCGTGCCTTCAATTTTGCTATGACATATTCCAGGGGTACAAAGAACGAAAGTGAGCGTAACCCCTGGATATCGAGGATGACTATTGCCTGCCTGCCCACTCCTTTACATTACTCCACAGCCATTAACTATCACACGTAAAATTTGCTTGAGTATTCGGCTTTTTAGATGGTGTTTCTGTTTCTGTCTCTATGTCTCCAAGTCATTATCGTTTTGTCATATCGACAACAGCTAGCTCACTTTCTACCATTTTGAACAGAGTCAGGAATCTCAATCAAATATAGACAAACAAATCAAACTAAGCTTCTGATTTGATGTTTTTGTATAACCATTCATACAATGTGTCATTTAGGCATAACTTTATAGTTTTTGTAGAACAACAAAAGCAACACCGACATTTTATAAATATTCCTTTGGTTAATTGATTGATCGCTTCAACAAATATTTTAATCGATCAAATATACAACCGGCGATTTGCCTTTACCTGGAACCATAGTCAACATTGAACTTTTTAATCAGACTTAACAAAATCTCACTTTGTGTGACTTCATTGATACAATTCATGAACTATACACTAATCAGAATTGTATAGGATATCAGTATCATTCTTAACATTATAATAATCTGACAGCATCAGTAACAGACACAGTTATAGCATTATTGCATATAATGTTTTTGAATAAACGGAAAATTTGCTTCGGGTTAGGTGTACATGTAAGTCAGTGTACTATTTCCTGGTGGGTTTTTTTCATCTGTGATCTTGCAGTCCTATTTTTATACATGCGTTTATCTCTCATTAACACACTTCTATTTCTTGGAGTACGGGAGGACGTGAAAGTCATATGCATTCATTATGAAAATATTAAATTGATATCAAAAAAAGTTTGTTGTTAAAAATGTATTCCCTATTTCTGACATTGTTGTTTATTTATACGTTAATTGGTGTGAATACATCATACAAACAATGAAATAAAACCTTTTTCACGCTTGTTTACGCCTACGTCTCTGTTCAACTCGCCTCGATTAGTTTTTAATACATTTAACACAGCTGAAGACAATAAAACGTTTCCGCAATTCTTCTATGGCTTCATTTTGAAACGAAATTCCTTTACATAGAGAATTTCACCAATAGTCAAGATACTTTGTACAGGTATTTCACATAAAATTTACACATGGGCTACTATTTATCACTAGATTACAACATACAAAGGAAACGGTGTGTAGAAAAATCACAGAATATTATGAAATAATAATGATTGACTGATGCCCGGTGAAATTCTTTTAACTCTGATGTATTCAGTTTAAATAACGCATGAGCTGAATACACAGAGTTACCAGAATTTCGCCTGGCATCAGCCAATCATATATCAAAGATGCTTCAGGCATACTTCCAATGATTATTCAATACTATTGTGTATATCATTTAATGAGAAACACAGTGATGTCCAAAAGAAAGCATACTACTTTCATTCTAAATATTATTAATTATGTATTCTTTTGTAAACTGTACTCGAAATGATTAACCTATTCCTATTGTGATAACTAATTATGTTGTGCACTAATTTTGCCTAATCGTCTATTTGATTTTGCATTTATTATCTTATTCATCGTTGTAACTACATTATTCTGTTTGTAAAGTCTTCTTAAAGGTAGAAATACAGAGAATAATATTCAGAGGAAAAAACGCAGAACCTGATAATGATGTGTTTTATGAACGTTGATACTTAAACACGTATGTACGGTTTATAATGACTATTTTCTAGTTCTAGTGATGTACATATTGATTGGACGAGGAGACGGAAAAGTTTGTCCGGTCAGCCGAGCCAAACTCAACCCAACTCTCTACAGAAATGCCACTTGTCCGGGGGAGTGTTGTTTCGACTTAAGCTTCAAGTTTTGTTGCGACGCAATCGAGTAAGTGTATTTATTACGTTTTTGCCAATGAAATATCGAGTTTTATCACGTGATATCTTTCACACCGTAACAGATATCAAAAGTGATATAGGATAGTGATATAAATTGTAAAGGCGAACAGTCTGTGATACATGTATCTTCTTTCCAAAACAGACGTACTAGTGAAACTTGTAAAATACACAATGTATATTTGATGAATTATGTAGGTTTGTTTATTGATTGACGACACTTTTGAATGACTCTGGATGCAGTATCGTTTATATCTAGATACTACGTACTCTATGAGGGATATGCCTCTTATACAAATCACCAAAACAGTCCTAAATATTATGTACTATCTAAGAATACATTGACCCATTATAAGCTTATACAATTAGAAAATTGTATCGGGCCCGCCTTCGTTTTCAACGGTTGTTATTTTCTACGGTTTATCAACCCGTCTGTCCACTTTATTGAGTTTGCAATTGTATAATACTCGGTAGTCTATAATTTCCTCTCATGACAAGTTTCACAACCGATAACCTATTCCATGTTCAGTGACCAATGATTCTCAAAAATACAACAAATATATTGGAAGACTTTTTATAAAAATAATACCACTGAAAATCTTGTTTAATTATTATCTTACAGTGATGTGAACGAGCCTGTTGTCATCGCCTTCTGTGTCATCGTTGGTGTTGTTATCATCGCTGTTGTCTTCATTATTTGTTGCTGTTATGAATCTAAAAAGAAGAAAGTGCCAGAACCAGAAGAAATAGACGAAGAAGGTTGTAAGTTTTGTAGTCTTGTCCATCTAAAAGCTCTGCGGTAATATATCATGTTAAACTCATTGATAATTGAACCGGATTATAAACGTATGGACATATTTATCGGTAAAAAACGAATGTTCTAGGATCTAATCTTTATACTATCAAATCGGCAGTGTCCAAATTCCTTCTGGTAAATATTTTGTGACATCATAAGGAGAATAGTGACATCATAAGGAGAATAGTGACATCATAAGGAGAATAGTGACATCATATTTAAAAGTCACGGTAACTAGTACATGGAATAACAAATCATTGTCGTAGTGAATGAGTGCACTTGGACCTGGTAATTTGTTACAGCTATATTAAGACCTAAACTGAGGTGTTCAGAGTATTCGGAATTAAGATCAATTTTCGGTATTGATATCATTGGGGTGACATTTTTACCGAAAATTGATCTAAACCCCGAAAACAAGTGGTTATTTTTACGAAAAATCATACCTAAACCCTACGATTTGCAAATCGTCATCATGAAGGACGTTAAAAAGAAATACATACAGGAACGCTTTCGGTGCAACGAAAATAAACTTTGGTAATATCTTTCAAAAAGACATCAGTTGAATAAGAAAATGATATCGCAGTGTCAGAACACATGTCGCCTGAGCTATCTGTTAAACCTGCAATGCTGCGTTCGGCTCAATGAATTAGAAACACATTTGGAAGGTTACATATGTTCCTAACACACAGTCCTTTCTGAATAGCTGTCAAAACAATTAATTCTAAGGGAAAATATTCCAAAAAAAAACCCGCTTCTGACAGTACACGCTTACATTGTATACATGTATAGTTTTCACGTAACTTTGCCTGTATGTATAATAGAGTTAGGATGGTAATTTTTATATCTTTTCAATATTTCTGTTTTCACAGATGATGCCGGACAGAACGGTGACCAATATATTTATCCGTCAAGAGTCGGATTAGATCACCATGGCTACATGTACCCCAGTCCAAGGGGGAACCCTCCTCACCATGTCAAGTATTAGTCGACTTGCAATCCACCCTTCTTTTTTTAATACCTTTGTGCATCTGAACTCGCACAAAAACTAATTGAAAGTGATAGACTTTCCTTCAATAATGCAAAAAGGACTGAAATTGTTCTGGATTTTCCGAACGATGAATGAGGTATGAGAATGTTTTAACGCTAGACCAGTTATCACCAACGGGACAGATTTACCCTTAGAAGACGTCTGCCAACCTTTTCCTTGACTGACCAGCAGATGTTAGCGAAAGCCACGATAATAACACCGCACTTTTAAAATGGTAATTTTTAAGATATCATACGTATGCGGACGATCATTCATCTCTGGGCTTTATACTATTTCTACGCAGAACAACATTCTTGCCTGTCAGAGGCGTAGCTAGCCCTTGTTCAGAGTGGATTCATGTAAAAGCGGCCTTGTTAGGGAGACAAGGGGTACAACAAACAGTGTTTTTAGTTCTGTTTTGTTTTTCTGTTTAAAAATTGGGGGATTTCACGTACCAGCGTAAAGGCAGCTACGCGCCTGAATGTAGCACCAGTAGTATATCTGAAGGTAGTCAAATACTGGAATTTGAGCGTTTGCCCAACTATATATTTGATACATTTTGACATATGTGAACACGTATATAAAAGTTTTGAAATACAGTTGCTTTACTGTTTGTTTCTGGACGCTAGTGGATAGTTATAACGTGTACAGCATCCTTCAGTCAATACCGTTCAAACACAGGTCTAGATTTACACCTGATAATCCGTCAATGATGACATTTTACTAAAGTGTTGATCTAATTTAAAAGTTGAACTGTTATCTCTACACACCAGGATAAAGGTCCAAGGATACCGACCGTAACACATTCTCATATCCCTGTGCTTCATATTTCCAAAATATATCATTCAGTATATTTATCATCTCTGCTTGCATAACTGCAGTTCTTGCACGACATTATTCTCAAAAATATATTTTTATATCTCAATTTCCTATCTAGAGACATACACGTTGTCTTGAAAAACGTAACAACCGTGCCAGTCTTCACGCACCAGACAACGATATTCAAAGACAGTCATAACAATGTAAGGTTCTTCTACCTCTAGAAATTAAAACCCGTTTATTGACATAATCCTCAATTCATTGCAGTTAAGCATTTAAGTTATTTTTCTAATATCACATAATTTTTGAAATTTCAATTAATACCACCTGTAAGGGAACATTGTATAGATAAACGTTAGACGAATGATAATTATTTTCTGACTATCTTAATAAGTAGCTGTATTGGGTGAACCCCCATAACCTCTCATGCTATTTATTTGACTCATTCGAAAAGGTGCAAAACTTATTAACCACATGTCGAGGAAAGAACAAATCCTAGAACCCTTGAATTTGAAAGTAGATTCGTCCAAAGAAACCTTGAGTCGTTGGCTAGGAGTCGTATGTAAACGTATTCAGATTACTATGCTTTACATGTGGTCGGATGGCGCAATGGATAACAGCCTCGCCTTTCACCCCGAGGGTAGGTTACCCTGATAGGATATGACAAGGTTTGGGGTCACCTACCCGACCACGTAGGGCTTCTCCGGATACTACTTCCACACTGCGGGTTAATACGAGCCAACAAGAGTTATCAATATCAATTGGTGAAGCATATTTTCAGATATTCATATAACTATTTATTATATAATATAAGGCTTCTGCAGTGCAATAAAGGGGTGCAAAAAAATTGATATTGAACGTGTGCAATAAAGATGCAAATGAGCGCGCGACACCGTGGGAACTAGGTCGTATTCCTACGCACTACTACTACTACTACTACTACTACTATAGTATAGGCCTACTACAACATGGCTGACGTAAACATTGGGGATTCTGTTCGAATTGACGGCAAAGGTAGGGGCACAGTACAAGAACTTGTTCCAATGGGATTTGCAACATTTTATAGAGTTTTAATCGAGGGAAGTGATATTGAGGTTGACTTGCCAGGTGATCGGTTAGAGCCAATACCCCAGA